TCCTTCTTGTATGAGTGTGCTGCTCTATGGACACTCGTTGAAGAAACCATATCTCAATTCGCTCCACCGACAACAACAACAACAACCATGGGCGGCGCTACTTCGACGATCGTGGGGACGACTGGCTCGTGCATGCACATGACGTCCAACCCGCCAGTGACCGCTGCTTCGTGCGCGGGCACGTGGAGCGCGTCGATCAACGTGTGTACGATCGAGCAACCGTCGTTCACGTCATCGAGCTGCACGGACAGAAAGGGAATGTGGGTTCCAAGCAGCGGCATGTCTATCCCGATGCCCCCAGTGCAGGGGTACAAGCCCACTACCCCAGTGCCCCGGGTGGTGTGTGCATGCACGGGCGGCGCAGCGTGTCCCTCGAGCAAGATTTGCGCCGGGTGCCTCAAGAACGGTGTGTGCACGAGTGACTTTGCGACGGCCGCCGAGTGCGACACCTTTGCGATCGGCGCCAAGTGGTGTGGCGCCTAAGGCCAGGATTGTCAGTCGTTCGTCACGAAGTCGTGCCAGATTTGAAGGACGAGCATGATCCAGTGTTGTGATTAATATGAATGTACGGCCGGTGTGCCGGTATATAGACCGACTTGCGATGGATGACCAACAACTAGGGTATGGTGCAATCAGGGCTCGGGCATTTGTAAATATTTTTGTAATATTGGGTAAACACATGGCGAATTACAGAAATTCTGGAGGGTCGTTTTGTGAGGATTTTTGTACTTTTACGAAAATTTCCGAGACCTGTTTTGTAAAAGTGACTTCGAACCCGGCTCCTGCGCCCTATTTAATGGAGTTTTTGAGAGTCCGGACAGGCACACACGGCACATGTACTTTTTCCCAGAGGCCCATGGGAAAAAGCGCGGGAGCCAGCAAGCTGCTTTACCATGCACACACGGCACATGTACTTTTTCTCGCAAGCCCATGGGAAAGAGCGCGAGAGCCAGCAAGCTGCTTTACCATGCACAACGCGCTGCTTTCCAGAGTCGCTCATAATCCGAAATGGCTCCGGCCAAAGCGGCACCGTTCCTCCGGAAGTGGCTGGACGATTTCTCGTGGCTCGTGTACGACGAGAGCAAGGTCGCCGCGTTCTGCACCTTTTGACAAGACGGTTGCAGGAGCGACTCTCAGCAACACGCTGTACGACGAAGGTTTTCATTACGGTCTCGCCTTCATGAACGACGTCCTCTGCATGCTCAACCAGCTCTCGCGATCGCTGCAGGGGGAAGACCTCCTCATCACTTGCGTCCCTGATTACGTCTGTACGACGACTCGCCAGCTTGCAGCTACGTTCTTGGCTGACCGCGCCGTGGGAACTATCGCGACACCATCGCTCAACAAGTGGAAGACTCGCATGGCTGGCGAGTTTGACGACTACTGCGCTTCAGAGACGGTGTGTTTGGCGCATTGCGAAGGTGTCGAATACGTACGTCGCCTCGTCAAAGCCATTGGGGATCGTTTTCCCATTGAGACGTCAAAGACCTTCAAGGCCTTCTCGTGCCTCTTCATCGAGCACATGCGCTGCGCTCAAGACCTCGTCGCCTACGGTGTCGATGAGGTCGAATTCCTCCGCGACATCTACCTGCCGGACGTCCAAGACAGCGACGTCGCTCAACAGTACGGCGCGTTTAAGCAATACGTCATGTGTGCGGCCCCACAGTCCGCGGCAATGGATTTTTTGACGTTCGTCCTCACCGACTCGCACGTTGCGAAAATGTATCCGTCTATTGTACAGCTCATCACCATTGCTGCGACTCTCGCGCCGGGTTCCGTCGACTGTGAGCGCGCCTTCTCGCTCGAGAACCTCGTGAAGACGGACAACCGTACATCCCTCTCTACAAGCCACCTGCAAGATCTCATGGTATGTGCTCGGGACGGGCCCGAGTCTTCCAAACTTGACGTACCTGCCATGATGGGCAAGTGGATTGCCGCCAAGGAGGAGGCGAACGCGAAAAGACGTCAAGTTTAATGGCTTTTAATGGCCCATAATCTTTTTGTAAAGTACTTGAGATTTGTATACTTTGGCTTTGTAAGGACCCCCAAATCTTGAAAAATCACAGCGCCTGCCAGAAAATGATTGGAGTACTGTGCCACAACGTGTTGGCTTCGCCTCGCGATTGCCCATGGAATGATAACATCAGGATACCGAAATAAAATTTCTGTCACCTCGATACGAACCCTTTTATATTTTTACAAAAATATTTTAGGGCCATTTTGTAAATTACAATGCAAATGCCCGAGCCCTGGGTGCAATCATAGATAAAAGAGACGGGACAAATTAATGACAGGGTTCGCGCCTTTCCCGGTCGCACCCGAAATCGTTCAGCAAGCATTTGGTGACGACTAGACCCCCTGGTCACTTTGACCCTCTTACTGCCTCTTGGCGGTAATGGTAAGTAGACCTTCTCAGGCCGTTTACCGGGATTACCACGATGGGTTTCTTTTTCTAGTATGTGGGCCATCGTCAGGCTACTTGATCGACCAGCAGCGTTCGCGTTCGTGAGCCAGACCCGTGTTGCGTACGCTCCACTTGTACGAGCGCTGCCAGACCAAGCTGCTACGCTTCCGGGTCGCCCAAACTCGGAGGGGCCTCTTCGGTCACATCTTTCGCAGCTCGCCCGATATCCCGGCCAACCTCCTCGCGATGCGTGAGTACGTTGGACCTTCCGGCGCTGCACCGTGGCTCGACCAACCGATGACGACGCTGCCGCGTGTGCTCGACGCCGATCTTGTCACCTCTCCGTCTTTCGAGAAACGCCTCACGACCCCAGGCGACCTCAGGAAGCTCACCGCCATCGCACGGAACAAAGAGCTTTGGACGGTGCTGACCAAGGGAATGAATATTTATTTCCTTGGTGCTGACCGAGGGTATCGTTGACGCTTGTCCCGGCGTCCCCACGCACGATGCAGTCTAAAACTTCCGTGCATGTATGAAACAATCTTCCAGCATTGAGATTACAGCCAGCACTGCTGTGTTGATTAAAGCGAATAAACGTCATACTAGTATCTATCTATCTATATATCTATCTATCTATCTATCTATCTATCTATCTATCTATCTATCTATCTATCTATCTATCTATCTATCTATCTATCTGTCTATCTACCTACACTTGGAGCCACATTTCCACAGTGAAGTTGTCCAGCGACGTCGTCCATAGACGGTGGCACCGTAGCGACAGCGATTGGGTTGTGACTTTCGTACATTAAACAATTACGTGGAGGTCTGGATCGCGTGCGAGTGGCATCTTGACGTACGATAGATAATCCTGGCCTTAGGCGCCACACCACTTGGCGCCGATCGCAAAGGTGTCGCACTCGGCGGCCGTCGCAAAGTCACTCGTGCACACACCGTTCTTGAGGCACCCGGCGCAAATCTTGCTCGAGGGACACGCTGCGCCGCCCGTGCATGCACACACCACCCGGGGCACTGGGGTAGTGGGCTTGTACCCCTGCACTGGGGGCATCGGGATAGACATGCCGCTGCTTGGAACCCACATTCCCTTTCTGTCCGTGCAGCTCGATGACGTGAACGACGGTTGCTCGATCGTACACACGTTGATCGACGCGCTCCACGTGCCCGCGCACGAAGCAGCGGTCACTGGCGGGTTGGACGTCATGTGCATGCACGAGCCAGTCGTCCCCACGATCGTCGAAGTAGCGCCGCCCATGGTTGTTGTTGTTGTTGTCGGTGGAGCGAATTGAGATATGGTTTCTTCAACGAGTGTCCATAGAGCAGCACACTCATACAAGAAGGAAGACTAGTCAATCTTTCAAGTTTAGCTACAAGAAGCAAGTGGAGGCAATCTTCGAAACTTTGCAAGAAGGACGCGACGCTTGAACCAAAAGGCGCGACCGTGACTCGTCGGACGTTGCCAGAATGCTGGACGCTTCACGGACATGCGCAGGGGACACCAACCACGTTTACTAAACTTCGAAGATTGGTTACACTTGCATTTTGTCGTCTTGCTTGGAAGATTGGTTGTTCTTCCTTTTAGTGGTCCTTTGCTCCTCCCATGGTCTCTCGTTGGAGTTCACAACTCCATTTTCCCCCCAAGCAGCAACCAGTATGGGCAGCGCCTCTTCGACGATCGTGGCGACGACGGGCACGTGCAGCGGCATCATGAGCAACCCGCCTGTCACCGCTACTTCGTGCAAGGGCTCGTGGAACCCGTCCTCGGGGACCTGTACGATCCAGCAGCCGTCGTTCACGTCTGGCAGCTGCTCTGGTGTGTGGGCGTGGGCGCCCAACTACGGTCCGTTCGGTGCTGCGTGCGCGTGTGTCAGCGGCGCGGGATGTCCGTCGAGCAAGCTTTGCACCGGGTGTCTCAAGAACGGCGTCTGCTCGGGCGACTTCACGACCGCATCCGAGTGCAACACGTTTGCGAACGCCAAGTGGTGCGGCGCGTAAGTGCAATAGTGTCTATCGTCGACGTGATCAAGACAGACGTCCATGTAATTCTTCAATGTACGACATTTCCTCTGTACGTTGCTACGGCCCCCTCTCTCAATGGACGACGTCACTGGACAACGTCACGGTGTAAACGTGGTTCCAACGGCTGCGAAGATTATCCCGAACGTGCATCTGGTCGTAGCACGATCTCAGTTTCTTGAATGCATTAGGGCTAGGGATTGCTATACGCATGCTTTTGGGGTAGCCGTGAACAATTATGGCACGAGCTCGACTTGCACGGCTTGCTCACTGAGCCAGACAGTCGGGATGAGCTCGTATGCGTCTGGAATCTGGCCCAGCACGTGCGCAATGGCCTTGCCGTTGACTTCAAACCGAACGCGATGGTCAAAGACGTCCCAAATCGCCGTCACCACCAAGTCGCCTTCGAGGATGGCCGCTGGTGACGTGCTCTTCTTGGTCGACACACGGCGTGTTGGG